GATAAGCGCTGGCCGATCGTTTCGAAGTAACGTTTTCTTTCAGACGCTTTCCTAAAACAATTTACGAGCTCGTGTTTTTATAGCCCACTCTCAGTTATGCTTTTAGCCGGTACTTACACTCGTGGTGTCGCCGGGACGCGCCGCGTCGGAGAGTACCGCGTGCTAATGATAATAAAGAATTTCTCCGCGAACTTCTTGTTTCGCTCGTTGCATTTGTAATCGAGCATTCCCCGCCGGGTCGTTGCCCACCAGCCGATGATAGGCCCAACATCGCGCGACGAGTATCGCTCCACTTGAAAACCTGAAATTTCCCGTTTCAACAGCGGCAGTTCAACGGATGGGTCTTCCTCGGTCCGCGTAATTTGCCATTCCCCCAAAAAACGAGAGACGCTTTCCCTTTCCCGAAACGAACCGGGCTGCATTCTTTCCCGTCGCGGCCGTCCCACGAGTATGTGCCGAAGTCTCCGCACTGTTTCCTTCGAATGTTGCAGAACGAGCCCCGTCCATAAATCTCGGGATGGACCACCCGGCTCCCTAGCCTACCTCATCGCGCTCTCCACGTCCCATCGAACGCGTAGATTCCTCTTTCGAGAGGAAGCCGCGCCGCCGCTCACCGGGTATCGCCCGTCCGCGGATTCCGCAACGGCGCGTTCTTGGGACGCGCGCGCGCGCGCGCGCGCGCGTCCGCCCGACGCGGTGGTGGTCGTGGGATGCGCCCTTTTTCTGGCGATTTCTGCCTACCGGGCTGCTTACTTGCGTGCCGGTTAAATAAGCCATAAAGCCGAGGGTCGTGACATAACGCGAGGTTGTCACCAAGCGTGGCATTCGGGAGGTTCCGCTGATTTATAGAGCGCGCACCGTATAGACCGCGCATCGTGAAAAGGGGGATGAAGAAGTAGCACGAAGAACAACATCGGCCCGATGCAAAGAGGGTTGAGAGAGATCGGCAGCGATTCCTGGAACTGTCTTTGACGTTTTCCACGAGACGTTCTCGCGCCGGAAAGACGCGGCTGTGGGGGCAAAGGGGGGGGAGGGGAGAGAGAGAGAGAGAGAGAGAGGGCCGGCCCTCTCTGTATGCGTCGTTGAGCGCAAATCGCGAAACGCGTGTCGCGACCGCGGTCCGCGAATTTGCGCGCCCATTCAGTGGCGTAGCAGTGATCAGCATCGTTCGGCTGTTAATTATTACCCAAGTCGAGTGAGTGCATCACTGACGAGTAACTAGACAAAGGTCAGCTGATAATTCGCCTCGTCTCACTGATTCTGTATAAAAATAAATTTTCCCTGCTCCCTCCCACACCCACACACACACATATTTCCTTCGTAGCGTCCAAGACAAAAAAATATCGCGAAATAGATTAATCGATAAGGATATCGTCGAAATTACTGCGACACGCCGACAATGCGACTTCGCGGTCGCAGGTTTCGCAAAACATGGCGCTCGAAGAACCGGCTCTAGCGAACAGCGAACCGATTGTTAAGAACGGACCGGCGACTGCAGCATCATCACCCCGTCGGTACGCAAATATTAAAGGCACGCGCGAGTGCGCCGAAAAATACGCGGCAGGCGGAGAGCCGCCGCGCCGCGCCGCGCGACGTTACACAGCGCATTACTCAATGCGAAATAAAGGTCCCATTAGAAGGACGTTTACAGTCGCCGCGGCACAAAGGATGAAGTCTTATTTCAGGCGTGCGACGCTATTACCGAGATTAAATGGCTAAAGACGACGAGTATATGCTCCCGCCGTTCCAATATATTTCCCGCGACCCGCGCTACGCCACTGCTTACGCGCAAATGCGTGCGCGCGTCACACACACACACACACGCACACACAGAGACGACGCGCTCGCGCGCTCGCGCGCACGCAAGTGAACGAGCGGGGGTGTGCACCAGGAGCAAAAGTAAAGTACGCCGCTGCACCTGCTTCTCGGTCCATCATGCGGCGTGTCACCCACGCTAGTTTACTGCACTGCGAACCGTGTTATGCATCCACGAGACAAGGCGCTCGGAGGATCTATGGAGGGATTTCAGCGGTAATCGAGAGATACGCGCCATCGTCGCGGTATTTATTCCTCTCGGTCGGTGCCGCGCCGCGCCGCGCCGCGTCGGTCCGGGCTCTGCTCTCTCGTCTTCGTCCGTCCGTCGTTGTTACATTACGAGTACGAGCAGCTGCCAAAGCCGCGGGAATTGGCTTCGACGTGCTCCGAAAATATTGAGAGTCGGCCGAGCGCGCGCGCGCGACCGAGCGAGCCCGTAAATCAATCCGCTGTCTTTGATGCGAGAGAAGTCTCGCGCGAATATGTCTCTGACTGACTGCTGGCTGGCTGGCTGGCTGGCTGGCTGGCTGGCTGGCTGGCTGGCTGGCTGGCTGGCTGGCTGGCTCCCTCGCTTGCTGGCTGGCTGGCTGGCTGGCTGGCTGGCTGGCTGGCTGGCTGGCTGGCTGGCTGGCTCGACGACGCCGCCTTTGCGAAAACGCGTCTCGCGGACGATACAAATTTAGCTGTCGTCATTCGCGTTGTTTTCGTTATCTCGCGGGAATCGGGATCGCGGCTGTGCGATATTGTACGGCGTACAGGAGGAGAAGGAGAGGACGGCGCGGTTTCGCGCCACTTTGCTTTCCGCGCTGGAGCCGCCAGGAATAGAAATTTCGACAGGGAGGAGAAAGCGAATAAAACGCACGAGTCGATCGGCATACGGAACGGAGAAGACGGTGGGCATCGGGAGATCGCCGCGTCTCGGCGGTGTATGAAACTGCCATTCGAGTAACACGGGCTCTCGCTAATTAAAGAGTACGAGACACTCGATGCGTGCGTATATGTGTGTGCGTGTGTATGCATGTATTTGTGTGTGTGTGTGTGTGTGTGAAGAGGGAGAGAAAGAGAGGAGCTTACTCCCGAGATATAGTTCCTAAATACCGAAATTAACTTGCGCCTGTTATCGGACGAGCGTACCCACGCTCGTGTAGCGTATTCGGCTGGTCCACCTCCCGGTATAATTAATTAATCCGCTGGTAATTATATGTAATCGCCGTTGCGGCTGCGCAGCCGCGCGGATCGCGCGCATAGCAAGTGGAGCTTAGACCGACGGAATCTCGTGACTGGTGATAAATTGCCAGCCAATGACTAACTACCGGATGAAGGCGTCCCTGACGTCTCGAAGAAGGATGCAAACACCTCGGATCTGTTTCATCCTCTGATGAAGCATTCGGAAAAATTGTGAGCCGGTTGTCGGCAGGGAGGGGAGAGGGGGGGCTCGTTGGCTGCGCTTAGAGGCCTCATATGGGCTTGGCGAGATCTTACAATGGCTTCTCCCAGAGCTGTATCGCTCTTTGGGGAGAATGTATTACATGTGTATCGTAATGATAATTATTATTAGAGTCTATTAGAACGAGAAGAGAGCACGGATCCCATCATTAGCGTGCTCGCTGCTAACAAGATAATAACAATAATCACCGCGGCTCAAGACTCCAGAAAAATGTGATGATCTCGTATGAACACATTATGCTAATCACCTGTGAAATCACCGCGTATAACACGATCTCAAACTTAACCCTTCGTCCATGTGTCTCCCATGCGAGCTTCCGAATCTATCGAACGTAATTACTTCAGTTCATATTCGATCGCTGTTGAGTTACGGAGAAGATACGCGTGGAAAATCTCAGAATACTGTATACCCTCGACTGTATACTGTAAAGTGTCATATCTGTTGAGGCGTTTGACTGCGCATTTCTCTCTGGTCGTCCGGAGAACAAAGCGATATCAATATTCATCTGTCAACTCACCCTTGTCATCTCCAGACTGCGCTCGTCACCTCGCTACCTTGTTATTAGAAGATAAACCAGCTGGATTATAAGGACAATTTACAACATGGCTGTTCAATATGGCTTCCCGATATATGACGATTATTCGCTGTGCAAATAATAAAAAAACGTCGCTCTCATGGAGAAATATCATTCCCGCTTCAAGCGTCCGAAAAAATTACAGGGGAATGAATCTACAAGGAATACGCGCGTCACTCGAGATTAATCGCCGAACACGTGATCGCCCGCGTCCGCGGTCGCACGTCGGCAGGAAAGGTTGAAAGCTGCGCGCAGCCGCACGCGCCGGTGTAATTCAGCGAAAGACGCTTCGTCAGGAGCGCGTAATCTTGACTTTTCGTCAGTCGCGCATAATCTCTCTGCACGCGTGTGATAACGTCGCGTGCCGTCTGGGAGGCGTATAAACCTCCGTTGACGCACAGGTGACTAAAAGCGCGGTGCGGCGCAGCGCGGCTCGCTCTCCCTGACCGGACAAAGCCTCCGGACACGTCCCTCGTCGGCATAGCGTAGACGCACGTCTACAGTCTGCAGGAAGGCAGGGAAGGAGGATATTTCGAGCGCGAAAGCCAAGAGCGTGTAAACGAAGCCGCCCCCGTCGCCACCGCCTCCGCCTCCGTCTGCGCCGTCGCCGCCGTCGCCGTCGCCGTCGCCGTCGCCGTCGTCGTCGCCGTCGCCGGTCGGCCGACGTCGTCGGTACGTCGCGCGCCTACTTACCGGAGCATAAATCAGAATTATTACGAAGCTATTAGCGTTCCGGAGTAACACCGGTACGTGTCCTTCGTCGTGCCGCGAGGGTATGCGAATCCCTCGATCCCACCCCCGTGACACCACCCGACGAGCCCTCGCCGAGCCCCCTCCCTCCCTCCCCCCGCGCCCTAGTCTCTGTCCTAGCACGTTTCAGCGGTGGCTCGGCTACTATAGGCAATAATTAATCATTTTGCGGTAGGAGAGCACACACAGAAGCAATTTGCACGCGTATGCACGACGCGCGACGTATGGCCAGCGCGCGCTCGCCTGTGCTCCTCCCTCGCTTGTGCGCGCCGGCCGACACACGTATGCGCGCGTACTTACGTGCAAAGGATTCACGACGCATTATCCTCGCGCGCGCGCGCGCGCGCGCGTGTACTCCGAGCACAGCGTTGTGTCAAGTGTGGGCAAACCTATACTTAAGCGACATAGAATATTCATACCGCGGTGCAGTCGGTGCCGATAAGAGTTGCTGTATACAGTGTGTGCTGCGTACTTACGACGGCCAGTGATTGTGCCATTAGGTGTATGGACAACCGGGGCTCTCTGTATGCATCTGGGTCGGCTGATCGGAAGCCACGTGGACCACGCGCGCGTGGCTCCGATCGATATAGGTGCGCGCCGCGCTCGGGGGATGATGGCCGATTGCCTATCGGACTCGTCGGGCTTTTATCTTGCCTTGATTGAGAGTGCCGGCGGCAGATGAAGAAAGAGGCCCGCGTTGTTGGCTCCCTTGAAGAAGAAGTACGTGTGGACTTTGCGGGCCTGAAAAAAGAGAGAAAAGGATTTGCCGTGTGAGAAAGTTGGCGGAAGAAAGAGTAGGCGAGGAGAAACTGGCGCAAAGCGTTCTGCGCAAAAAGTTCTACGGCGAAGGGACGAGAGGTGTAAAGGGCTCGACTGGGAATGCAGGAGTTGTCGAAAAACGAGAAGGAGGGGGAGGAGGTGGCAGAAGCGGGAAATACTCGGGAAATCGCGTTCGCGCGATGATTTCAATTAGCTGAGGATAAGCGACGATCGAAGAAGGTGTGACAGATGTCTGGCGTTGGCGCTCGTCTCGGCCTACGAGAATACAAACTTAGGGAAGCATTGCGCAAGTATATGTGTCACATACTGACGGATGAGTTAAGCTGTAGGCTTTAAGTCCTGCGCTTAGCCCGTCAATGTCATCTCCTCGAGAGCTCAGCCCCTTCAGACTTATCGGACGTTGTGCAACAAACAGACTAAATATATGGAGCCCGCCCTCTACCTATCCCGCACTCGCGGATTTCCACGTCAGATGTCGTGCCGTCCGCCGTTAGGAAATCGCGAAAATGCCGTCCATTCGACCCCTTCAAATCTCGCCTGCAAACGACACGATACTGCGCGACGCGCACCAGAGACGCACCTCGCAATCGATACACGCCGGAAAGACCGAAGATTACAAGACAGAAATGTATTCTCGCGAGTAGCGGAGCCGACGTAACGCGCTCAGCCAACGATTCACAATTTTACTCGTGCGCTCGACTCTCATTTACGTGCTCAAAGGAGACCTCATTTATGAGAGACGGCGGCTGGGGCGTGCAAGGATGATTCCTTATTAATGCAATTTCAGATTAAATTTTATCCCCTGGATAATCGGGCGACTGACAAGCGGTACGTTGTGCAAATTTCTCGAGAGAGAAAAACTACTTCGTTTTTCGGCCCTTTCTCGCTTCTTAGGCGATCATTACGGGACGGGGTTAATTATGAGATAAGGAATCACAATATCGCGCGCGCTCACGTGCAACGACGCGCGATAGGCCGTATATCTTGCAATTAATATATTTTCGCACGTGCGGTTTAATAAATATAATGTCGGACGATATATCGGCGACGATACATCATGTCCCCCCTCCCCCCTCCCCCGTGGCATAGTCCACAGTAACGCGTTCACACATTCGCGCACAGAGGCGCTACGGAGCGGAAGCGGGGGGAGGGGGGGGGGGTGGTGGTTTGTTCCACGCAGCACAATGCGCAGCCGTGCGACTCTAGAGTCACAAAGTGGTCGTACTCAACTTGACCGAGACTTTGACTCCAGCCCGACCGCAGGAGCGTGTGTGCGAAATTGGCGTCCTCGACATTTCGAAGCAACAGTACGTTTCCCAAAATGTGCGATTCATCACGCCGCATCGTTGTCTACCGACTAATCTGCGACAACACGCGCCACGCGCCTGCATGGGTTATCAAAAGGACACGAAAAGACGGGAGGGAAATCTCCACAAAGCGCATTACGTCGTATCGCCGATATCGCACTCTCTTCCACTCCGCGTTCCTTTGTCAAAAATTCCCGGCGACGACTCCGCACGGAGATGGTAGCTAATAAATGCGCCGGGCCGTCGGTGCGTCCTTCTCATCGCAATAATTGTCATACATAGACATGTAAATTACACGGGCGGATATAAACGTCAATATGACAGGCTGCGCCGGGCTGGGGGCCTCGGCGAGGCCGAGCTTGCGTTTCTGTTGGCTCCTCCGCCGACCGGTCAAAGTGAAATCATTAGTTTGCTTAAATCAATGCGCACGTAAACGTCCGAGTTATTTATGCCCCCGTCATTACGGAGACGTTCTCCACGTCCCAGACTTCTAACCTCACCCCCGCCATCCCTCGCTCCCCCCCCCATCCACACGCCCCCTTCCCGTGGTTTCTTCACCCTCTCGATGCCACACCAAGCGTTCTGCGTGCTGCGGGAGGTTGCGACCTTGCGTTGTTGTGTTTCCTACCGGCGTCGCTGAATGCGTATACAAATTCATCCGAGTGATCACACGCGAAGCGCGAACAAAGCTGCGAACGATCGCGCTGGAGTGACGTTTAATCTCTTTACTGCGCCGCGCGAGGACAGATAACTCCGTGCGCCACGCCGGGTCCACGCGCAGCTTGCGGTGGCCGGGGAAGTCTGCGATCTTCAAAATAGTGCCGATCATTCACGTTGACGACGCGCATCTTCGAGATACCAGCGGTGGAACGCGCTAGCGACACACATACACACACACACACTCTCTCTCTCTCTCTCTCTCATTCTGAAAATCGCGGACGCGTTGACGTAAGAAATTTCGGCCGCGACGTGCAGCCGAACCGGCACGAGCAAATCCGATCTAGCGGCCGATGAACGGCACGAAATGCACATAGACCGGATAATCTTCCGCGAGACGGTCGCCGACGTGGATCTCCGGTTGGCAGCGAAACGCGCGCGCTAACAAGAATTCGACGTTGCTTTGCAAACCGGCGCTGGACACGGCGAAGTTACGGCAGCCGATGTTATACTTTGCTAAATGTTTCTTACGTTGTCGCGTAAGCAGTAATGAAGCGTTTTGAGATATACTACGCTATAAAACGCTCCGGGGAAAGTGGCGAGCGGCGCGCGCGCGCGCGCGCGTTCGCGAGGCGAAGGCAGCCGTCGTCTATTATTGGTGCGCCGCGCTAAACGCTCGCAAATAATTCGGCAACGAGTGTGAGACGCACTCGTCGCACTCGCGCCTTACACTTTGATGCGCGCGTTCCGATCTATATTTCACGTGACAATAAGCGCGAGCGCACCGCGGCGATGATCACCGGGCGCCGCGCTGATTTCCGTCTGCGTGGCGGCGATCTTTTCGTAAATTAGCCAACACCGCTATCACACTGAGTATTTTAACTTGCAAACCACGGCGCTTCTCTCTCTCTCTCTCTCTCGGTGGCTACCTCTACCGAGAGGGTAATTTGTAAGCGCGATGTTATTCGCGCCTTCCGGCCGCGGGACTTGACGAAATATAAACAGCCCGGCTCGTCGCCTTGCGCGACGTTTTATGAACTTTGTGTTTGATGTGCCGGAACGTATTTCATGATTGACTCGATATCTCGAGAGGTGACTGCCTCTCGAAGAGCTTGCTTTGAGTTTCACGTCGCGGTAAGGACATCGATCAATTCGGTTCCCACATGAGCGAGCAAATCATGCGCGGCTATGTCGTGAGTGGATCGGAAAAAAGAAGCAAGATAAAGGTACGCTTTCGGACATCTCGCGCGAGAGAATTGCACTTGGGAGAGTTAATGATTATTAAAACATTACAACCTCCCGCCGCTAATGATAGACGACGTTTAGCCGCGCGAATCTTCGAACCGGCCCGGGCCGTATTAATATATCGGCCCGGTCTCTCCTTCACCTCGCGGTAAGCGAGGTAGCCTCGCGAGATCGACGTGAACAACTGAACCCGTGTTCCCGAGACTGATCACAACGCGAAGTGACTCGAGCTCGACGCGCGGACGCGGGCCGGAGTCGATCGACCGATTGAGAAGCCGCGTCTGGATAGACGTGCTTTGTAATAGGATTGATGCGGCCAGCTGGCGGAGGCTCGAGAGATTCGCAGGGAATCCTTTAAATAACGCTGCCTAAACGAATCCCGACGGACCACGTGACGCCGATCTCGTACGATCAGACGTCCAGCCGAATTTTACGCCAACTTCGCCGTTCCAAGATTACTGTTCCCCCGAATAATCCTCCGCCATACCGAGAAGCCCGGGGAGCCAGCGCGAATATTATCGGTACGAGAAGTTTTACACGACTGTGAAACTGATGGCTCATAAGAAGAGCTACGTAAGAAGGCGCGTATCCTCTCGAGGCAGCAAGAATAGCCCGCGGCACATCAGCCCGCCGGCTGAGACGCGGCACTTTGGCAATAAGAGAAAAAGATCAAGGGAAAAGTGTTTAATCGAGCGGCAGAAAGAAATCCAACACTCTCCGACTCGTAACGTTTACATACTTGCAACACAGCAGACACGTCCAAAGTGAGAGTTTTTTGTCTACACGCTGAAGCCTCCGCCAGTCGGCTGGACGTGCAAGACGTCGTATTTTCCAGTCGCCAGTTCTAATCGCGACCGAATGTTAAAGAATTTTTACTTCTACTAAGAACGCGCGTAACAACTACGAATCGCAAATGACGTCGATGTCTCGCAAAATAATTCGCGATTCACAGCCGCTCGCTTGATTCACTCTCACCAGACGTTGCCAATGGGAGCAATGGGAACATTGTTCAATAAAACCAGCGATAAGGCACACTAGTTAGCCTTTGCACCGATCCCTCCGAGAAGCAAGTCCGCAGTTGGCGCAGCGTGTGAAAACGAGCGATGCGATCGCTCGCGAAGCGGCGATCACAGGGGGTGACTGAGAGGCCAGGGAGCTAATTTACTCGAAAATCCGAAATATGCATGCCGCCGCGTCGGAGACGGAATATTCGGCTCACACTTGGTGCGACCAGGTGCGACCAGGACTGGGAAGCAGCACTCTGGAGCGGCGAGCGCGATATGAACGGCAGGACGTAGGAATGGCAGGATGCCAGGATAGCAGTCAGCTTCGAGTCACGTACATAACAAATGATTGCGGGCTGACTGAGCGCGAGCGGGGCGGGCCGGCGGGGGAGGGGAGGGGAGGGGAGGGGAGGGGGGTGGCGGGGCGGCTGAAAGCAGAACGAAGAAGAGAGACGCGCGCTCCCGCGCGCGAGCACGGGGGCGCTCCACGATCTGTTGGTGGTCCGGTGCTCCGGGCGTCGCATCGTTTGTCAAAGCGTCGATATGCCGATCCCGTGGCTCGATTACCATATTTTAACGCCAGCGTTATTGGCTCGCCACCGGCTACCGGAATATTAAAAGGCGCGTCTCTGCACGAGCTGCGCGATCTGTTCTCCCCCCGCTCCCCGCATAGATCGGTTTGCTCGCGTGCGATCGGAGTGCCGAGGCTTTTCGTCATTTGCGCGCGCGCGCGCGCCGTATCGGGCGA